CTGTATTCTGGGATTCTCTAACTTCAGCATTTCTTCCTCGTCTAGGTGCTTATAGAACCATTCTTGTGCCAATATTGCTGCACGCCCCGTTCCAATTCACACATATCATCACCCACATCTGATAACCCCCCTCGTCTGTCGGGATGTCATGGAGTACGTTCATCCATCCTTTTTTTTTCTTTTTCGTTTTCTCACTATACCCCTACTCAAGCTGCTAGGTTGTGTGAATAATGGGAGTGACCATTTTTTATTTTTTATTTTTTGGTGGGTTCACTGCCTGTAAAAGTCGCTCCCACCTGGCTCCGTCCTTACGATCCTCTAGACTCCGTAGGACGCATCTGGCGTATAAGGTTAAATACAACGTCATATCTGTCCTATCTTGGTCATCCATCTCCTTTCTTCAGTTTATAGAGCTTGTTTCCCCACAGATTCTTCAACTACTCAGCTCCTCCGCGATCAGCACCATTACCACCAATTCATCCACCAACAAAATACCAATATCAGTCAAGATGTGCGACTACACTCAACGGGAATACTCGTGCGGCCACTTCTGCTGGATCGCGTCCCAGTGGTGCACAAAGTACAAGATCACCCACAAGCGCTGCCGACCCGACATCACCCACTTTGTGTACAGGCAGGGAGCTTTGGTCCCAGTCGGCGGTGTTGGGGCCGTGGATGATGATGGGGCCCAGCAGGCCCTCGCTGTACTGGATGGAGTAGTGAGAGTGGTACCAGCTGGACCCGTGCTGGGTCGCCTTCCACTTGTAGGTGTGGCAGTCTCCGGAGCGATGGGACACTCGGTCTGAGAGGTGGCGCCGTCGGCATAGTTGGTGTAGAACTGGCGGATGCCGTGCCAGTGGATGCTGGTGCCGTTGTCGGGAAGGTGGTTGCAGACTTTGACCTCGACGTCGTCACCCCAGTTGGCTTCGAGAAGGGGGCCTGGGTACTGGCCGTTGACGGTGATCAGCCGCTTCTCAACGCCGTCTGGAGCGAGAGTGGTGTATCCGACATCAAAAGTTATACTGCAGTTGGCTTGTGTCAGCATCAGACCTCGAGTAAGTACCTCTGAACCCTGAGATCGAACTTACATAACGAGTCACTCCGGTGTTGGGCCATTCGTAGGCGACATCGGTGTCGATGTCGTAGTTTCCCCAGCACTTTCGAGACTTGGGACTGTTCCCACAGTATCCCCTCTTCTCCGACGGCTGCTCGGAAGGTCCAGTAAAGGGGACGGCAGATACGAGGGAAGTCACACCGGCGAGGAGGACAGCGAGAGAGCCTGAAAGCCTCATCGTGTCGACTGTTGCAGACGATCAAGCAGAGCCTGGGGACGAAGAAGAACTATATGATCGACATAACCACCATCATTGCGATGACTTCAAGGCGGTGGTTCGTTGCCACCCTTCCAAGTCTGGGGACGGTCAAGCAACTTTCCGGGATGGCTGACACCCAAAATCCGCGGGACTTCCAGGCACACAGGCACGAACAACTTACTTGACCCAAACGATCCACGATCTTCTGATGGATTAGATCCCAGGATCGTCTCCAGCTTCCAGACACTCCCAGGGTTGGTTCAACTTCGTAACTTCCATGATCTGTGGCCCTGTGGTAGAGACGTGTGTTGTGGATATCTGCGTGGGTCGTTTGTCCCATCCCGAGGGGCGGTTCAGCCAATGGTGGAATAACGTTTCTGGATCCGCTCGCGCGAAACTTCTCCATGATCCATCAGGTTTGTACGCTTGGGGATAAGTCTGAATATCGGTTTCCAAGTTTCCCATCTTCTTCTATTCAGGAAATGCACACGCCGATGACGGGGTCAACCCAGCTTTTGTGCATTTGTCGGTTTTCCCGGTGCGAGCTGTGCCTGGCTAAGGATGATTGGAATACAAAGCGAAACGACATACACACCGAAGAATTTATTCATATTTGCATGTTTTGATGCTGTTGGTTGTTGATATTCAGGAGGCTCATCTATCTAAGTCTATGACGTAGTTTTCTCCAGATCTACAACGTTTTTTACACTAAATTTTCAGGTTGTGGGTAGATAACTCGGAGGTTATCTCCCTCGAGTCTTTGCTATTTCTGTCCGCTCACCTCTCCTGTCTTTCTCTTGTCGTTCAAAAACTTCCACACTTCCGCTCTGTCATTTGTCGTTGGGTTGTCTCCAAATTCCCATGTTTTCTCAGGGTCGCATTGCCACAGCCCCCAATCCCAAATTCACTGACAAAGTTGCATTCCCCCATCTTAGCCCAGTGCTCGTCTAGGGCTAGTGGTGACATCGTCACATCTCTAAATAAGACAAGTTCATAAACCCTGGCACACACCAATTCACGCCCTAAACCACTACCAACCAGGCAAGTGATTAGCAAAATGACGGGCATTTCGACCGAAAACTTCGAGAGACATGGAAAACGACTGCCAAAAAGAAAGAGGCGCTAAACCTTGTCTTTAATTCATCAGCTGATTGGTTCCGTTGTTGTCTGTTGTCTTGAGATTCTTGCAGCTCTATACCCCAGGTCATCCAACATCACCAACTTTGGTTCTCAAAAAGTCTTCGTTTTGGGATACCGTCAGACCACCGCTTTCTTGTTGTGGTATGGTGTTAAATGCAATGACAGTTGTCTACCTCTACTTACAGGTATCCACGAGCGTGGTTTATTAGGCTTCCATCCGATCTTTGAAGAATATCAAGTCCCAGATTTAAAAGCACATCATGAACAACATCAAGATTTTACGTTCATGACAACCTTTTAAAGGTCACGCCCAGCCAGTCCACTCAACCTACTATCCAATCCTCAGAAACGGACTTCGCTTCCAAGTTCCCGTTTAGTGCCCTCAGCCAACACTCACAGTTGTCAGTTGCAACCCACCGCCCATCATCATTGCCACGGTTACATACATATCTACCTACCACACTCCGTACAGTCCCATCCGGGGCCATCCATCCGCGGAGTAGCCGCCGACCCAAAAAGTTTGATCTTGAAATGGATGATCTTCTTATGAGGATCAGTTATATGATCGCCGACTAAGTTTAGTGCGGGACGCGGGCGGGTGAGGCGGGTGAGGCGGGTCGGGTCTTTTGTTCCGGGTTTGAAGGTTTACATGACCGTAACGATCCAAATAGGCCGAGCGGACGGGTGATGTTCGAACCGAACATACATCGACTGGGGACAATGATGTGAATGCCACAGATCGAATGCGTGACAGGGACATTCGTTGTTCGTGTCTTTATCTCTTGCGGGTCGGTGCATTGGGAGGCGTCTTGGTCATTTCTTGTAGGGGTTGACTCGAAGTGTCCTCTTCCTTGAGGCTAGGTGATTGACGCTTGAGATGATTTTGGCCCTGACGATCCGGTCTTGACTCTTGACTTGGTCCACTGATCGAGGTAGATTCGTCTTCTCAATTGTATCTCCGTTCCCGGTGTACATGCCCAGCGGCTGCCACTTGAGTGTCTGGGCCGCATGAATAGGTGCACACATCTTTAGCCACTCTCTATGAGCCGACTTGCAATCCATTCTCCCTCCCCAGTCACTTACGTCTAGCCAGTTCAAAATGACAGTTCAGCAACTGCAAGGAATCAATAGTGGATAGTTGAGCTATTACCATCTACTGCTACCCATTATTAGCAACACTCACCCAAGGAAAATCGTAGTAGCTGACGAGAATGCTAGGAACCTTAAACCTGTTTTCTGCCTCCACTTTCGAATTTATGCAACCCAAGAGTTGTGTTTTATGGACGGACATTCTTCACCTCGACCATCATGAGATATGTATGTGTTTGACCGACGCACTTGAAGAAAACCAACGTTAGTGCTTTTGTGGTTTCATGCTACCCCATTTCCCTTCAATTCGGTGTATGCCGGGCTAGCTATAGTGTTCAACTAGTCAGCGGTACTGCTCAGGCAGGTAGTAGGAAATCATCTTCCCTAGGTTATGATCCGTGTCAATAGACAAGATGCTGGACAGGTGCTGCGCTGCAACGGCCGGGTAGTAGCTTAAGTGGAGGGATAAATGGCTTGTAATGAAGGTGAACATGGAGAAGAGATAGATTGAAGAGAATCAGGTTTTGCTGAGAACATTGTGTGTAGAGGTGTGCAAATGCAGGTAGAAAGGGAGGTAGCAACTATGGGTAGAAGGGGAGGGGCAATTGAAAGTAGGAAGGGGAGGTGCGAGTGGAAGTAAAATGGGAGGTTCAAGTGCAAACAAAATTTACTCTGGAGGCGCAGTGTTAGTGCGCGGGCAGGTTTATATGGGAGTGGCCTGCGGAATGCGCTAACGCACTAACAGACTTCTTTGGTCCAAGTTCGTGAATGAGAAGTTGTGGTTCATCTTCCTCCTGCAACACAAAATCTTGGCGCCAAGTGTTAACGCTTTGTTTCCCGCAAAATACCTAACACCACCAAAATCGCTGTTTCCACGGTCGATATCTCAATAACCATAACGACAAAATGTCTACGCCTCCGCCCTCCGGGGCCCCCAAACCACCGCCGCCGGCCATAACACCGGTTACCCCCCTGCCGGACTCCATTTGCGTCCCGCCTCCGCCCTCCACGACGGCGCAGTCGGCCAAGAGAGCCTGGACTGCAAACGAGGAAGCCCGTCCTGCCCACGCCACCACCGCCACCCCTAATGCTTCTGGTTCCATTACGACCTTCGCTGAGACCCTCGTCTCTGAAGCTCTCGCTAAAGCGGAGATCTATCGCTCTTTCGCCGCCTACCTCGACACCGAACTCCCCCGTTTCTCCGCCGTCTCCCCAGCCCACGCCCGCGAAGCTGACCGCCTCGCACGAACCATCACCGCCGCCTTGCAGAAAAGCTTTGCTTCACCTCCTTCGCCTGCTCCGGGCCACACGGCCCCAGCAAGCAAGAAGGCCTCCGCTTCCCCTACTAGCAAGGGGAAGGGGCCCATCTTCGCAGAAGCTGCCGCCCGCGGTGCGAATTCCATCTCCGCCTCCCGCTCTACTTCCTGCTCCCACTCCAGCCTCACCCGCAAGGCTGCCCTACCCNAGGGGAGGCAATAGCCGCCGACAGAATGCCTGAAGGGTTGCGAATCAAATGAGGAAGGGGGACATTTCTTGCGGGATTCTGTTTCAGCTGGAAGTCGGGCTCACAGAAGAAAAGGGAGACCCAAGCCTCCGAACGACCT